TTAGGCATATGTTGGTACTACAGCTAGTTTTGTATTATTATTCTGTGTTATGCTGTATAGTACTTTTCTATCGTTTGTTTAACTTACAAGTAAAAATTTTTTATGACTACCACTTTCTAAAAAAAGAAACTTTTATAGCAAGAATCTTAAAGATTCATCATATATTTTCTTCTACGTGTATTTGTTTGACCTTGTTGTGTGTGTGTTCTAGGCAGTTGTTTATGTGATCCCAATACTCCTGCCCGAAGTGCTACAAGAGTCAGAGCTAAGATTGTTATCTTCAACATAGACTTACCTATTACCAAGGGTTATCCAGTAAGTAGATGAAGCTTGAAAATGACATTGATTGATCAAAACATAAAAGTCAAGTTCCCCTTCCAGACCTTGTGGTCTATAGGGCAGATGATGTAAAGGACATCTGTTTCTGTGGCCTATGGTTAACAAGGGTGTCATGTGGCCAGCACAACGACCAACTGCCTGTACTTTTCCCCAACGATTGTCAGGTATCATTAGAGCTGGGTGGACTAGAGGCACCCAAAGATCCCGAAATTTAAAATACCAGGATTTGAACCTGCAACCCATGGGTTTGGAAGCCAAGCGCTTTACCACTCAGCCACCTTGCCTCCTAAAACATTAATAGTAATGTCTACAATTTTTTTAAATGAAAAACTTTTACTTCTTAACTTACAAAAATGAAGAATTTTTAGTACAAACTAAACCAATCAACTGACTATTAAGTTGATTAGGACACGATAGGACATTCAGTACTAAATAGTTGGTAATGAACTTAGCACCAGTAACTAACTAATGAAAGCTTTAATTTTGAAGTCATTTAATTGTGTATTAGAGCTAATATCAAAATTGTTAGTTATAAAATCATTAAATACAATTCAACTATCTGATATAAACATTTCACATGTTTTTGAGTGAATAGTGTGAATGTATATTTTATTTTCTCTAGTTATGTTTTTTTTTTGTTATTGTAATGCACAAATTGTAGACAAATTTCCTTATGGATAATAAAGATTATTATTAATATTATTATAATACTGGGATCTGGTGTTAATTTTTGTTTTTGTCGATTTATAACTTTCTGTCTTGTTCTGCTATGCTTAGTGAAGCTGCAAAGGTTTAAGCCAGTAATAATCAAGCCACTTAATATCATTTACTTATCTTCTCATTGTCTTGGTTTTCATGAGTTCATTTTCAAAGAAACTGATGGCCATTTGCATTTGAGTTGCCATTTCATCATTATCAAGATAGGTTGGCAAAAAAAAAGTTACGTTGTACGATATTATATTGTTGAAATTAATTTTAATATAAAATAATGCACTTTTTTTTTTTTATTTCTTATTACATAGCTTCTTATTAAAAAGTGTACCTTTGTCACTGTTGAGAATCTTTCTATAAACCCTTTAGGTTGTGTTTCATTACCAATCCATCAATGAGCCAGCAATAATAAAACGACTTTTGAGCCAGTTACACAGAAGTACTGGAGAAGTGATCAAGAAAAATCCAAGGTTTTTATTTTTTTCTTCCATGAATTATAGCATGATACTATAGATTGAAAGTTTCAAGTTAGTTTCTAGTCTGAAAACTTAATTGACCTATTACTGCTGCTGTTGTTATGATTTTGTTCATTTATATTCATGAACTATTTCAGATGTTTAGTCAAAAACACAAGTGCTGTAGTGGAGATAGAACTGGAGAGACCAGTGTGCATGGAACTGTATTCAGAGTTTAAAGATCTGGGCAGATTTATGTTAAGGAGTGGTGGACACACCATTGCTGCTGGCCTTGTGGAAGAGGTGATTATATAATATTAGATAAATTCTTTATTCTATAACAAAAACGTCCAGTATTCCACACTTTTAAATATGTGTATTTTCCAATGTGGATTGAACTGGTTAATCCATGCTCATGTATCTAGGTCATCTCTCTCTGCTTTACCTGTTAGGCGGGCCAGAAAGCTTTATGCAATATACCTCCCTCTGCCAAAACTCAATAAAGATGTCACTTTTTGTAGGGTAATATAAAGGAGATATTGTTCCTACTGTAAGCTATAGAAGTTAGGTCAGATGTTTTCCAATGCATTAGAGCTTTATCTTCTTAGTTTTGGATTAATGTAAATGTAGAGCTATATTAGATTTTCTAACCAACTCAACATCTTTGGAAAAGATTTCAACTTTAAAAAATGATGGTTAAGCGCTATTGCTCAACTCATGTCCTTTAATTCCACTTTTCTTGAAACTTTAAAAAATGTTAGGGTATTTTTATATAAAACTGTTTGTCTAATAGAATCAATTAACTTCTTCGACAGACGGTGCAAACAATAAAGACCTCTGTAAATGGCACCAGTCAGAGCTGATGGACATAATTCACATTTTACACATGGTGTAGTTTCTTGGATTAACTTCAATGTTGGCTGATTTCTGAGTCAATTTAACAAGAAGTGCTAACTTCCAATGAAGGTGTCCACATGTTGGAGTTCAGTTTTATTTTGTGGTTGTTTTAACTGTTTTTGTGAGGAGAAGCATGAAAACTGCAATAAAAAATTTATGCATTTTATATGGAATGTGTTGTCTGATACTATACCAACAAGACTTTATTTGGTACATTCATTTTATTTATCTACAGACAAAAAACAAAATGCTTCATAAAATAAACATTTTTAAAATCATCTTTCTCAATTTATATCATAGAAATTTGAGTAAATTGCAGTTCTGGTGATTTCAACAAGTCTGTTCAGAATACAAATGTGTCACCATTTACATCAAAGGAGGACAAGTTGTTTTTTTGCATTGCACAATGACAACATCACATAACATAATGGAAAGAGACATGGCAATTACAATGGAGGGGAGAAGTGTGGATATTTCAAAGGACAGAAACCATTCAGTAACAACTATCATACAAACATTTATCCTAAGTTTTCAATACAGACATTACCCAACACAGTTTCTTGGAATATCTGTAAAATAAATTGACTTAAAAAGCCCTGCACCAAATAGCCACCACCATGTGATAAGAAACTATTGGTAAACAAAAAATCTTTCATAGCATAAAAAAAAAGCATTTAAAATAGAGGTAAATGATTTTGTAGGTTCTTAAATGATCATCTTCAGAGACGCTGTATTTTGTTGTGCACAACTTTGTCCTGTTCAAATTTAAGTGATCAAGTAACAGTTTATACCTTTAACAATGCACTGGTGACATAAAAATACATGAACACTTGACCAAAATAAAAAATCATAATAAACACTAATGCATCTTGAAAGACAATGCATTAAATGTTGTAACTCACACAAAATATGATACAGACGTTATTGAAATGTAGGTTATACATGTATAGATCTATTCACTAAATACAATGAAAATTGCTATAATCTAACTAAAAAAAAGTTAAAAAAAAAACAAACAGTACACCTTTCATTCAAAAGAACACATTTTCTAACATTTGTTGTGAACTTCAACCCATCACCAGTTTATGTAGACATTCCAGTAGTTCAAGAGAAAACCCTTCACAATAACAATAACAACTTTAAAAAAAAAAAAAGAAGTTGACATACAAACCAAAACACATCCAACTGTAAGTAGAGGCATGGGTTTCACCAAATGATCAAGACAAAAATAGAACAAAAAAAAAATGAAACTTATTGTGAGCAAAATTAAATAGTTCAAATGTATTTCATGAGCAAATTATGAGTTTTTTTAAGCACTGCGCGGGTGAGACAGAAAGCTTAGATTTTGGGGTAAAAACATTATGAGATCTGCATACATAGGTTTCAATTTGTCCATGTCTACTGAGTTGACAATCAAGAATGTTTTGGTTCCACTCAGTAGAGACATTTGGGACACTTCAGGTTTCTAGGGCCTAGATGCCATAACAAAATCAACAAGCTTTATCACTGTTTGGTGTAAACTAGAAATCTAGGCATCAGAATCGTGCTGAGTCACAGATACTTACTCACAACCAGGATATGGGGTCAGAAACTAAAAATAATATGACATTATCATACGCATATAGATTCTATACATTATACATAAACATTGCAAATTGAAATGTAAAAATCATCATGTATTGGAGAATATTGGATACATACTGAGCAGTGTAAACATACAGCCAGAAGTCTATAAAAGGTACTGTTAGAAAACCCTAATTACATCCTCCAATTTGAATGATCATAGTGAGTACCATGGGAAGACATACACAGAAACATACGAATTTGGCTATTTCAGTGAACAGACATAGTCCTAATTATGGAAGACACACAGACACAGAAATCTTTTTTTTTTAATGAACATTCAAGCCTTTAGCAGCATGTACCAGATTTTTTTTTCTAATACTACTCAAAGATCAGGTCAAATTGATAAACAAGACTTCAGATGTTTTGTGTTTAAATAAAATAAAGAATATTTGAAACCAGAAACCAAAAAAAAAAAAACCAGACTGAACACAGGTGTAAGCTATATACAAGTTGTTTAGTTGTCATAGTCAATATTTTCTAGAGAATATATCTATGGTCAACAAGACATGGGAAAATGTAAATAAATGGTCCAATAATAGATAAATTTATTTCATCACAAAAACTTGTAAATTTCTTGCATTTAGCTGACTTCAAAATGTATTAAACTTAACTATGAGAAAAAAGAAATCAGCTGTTGAGTGTTTCAGTCAGTTACAGCGTGTAGTAATACAGTGAAATACATTTTAATTTACCATAACCCTATCACAATAGTGAATTTTCTCAGATGTAACTAGTAACCAACAGTTATAATGCTACAAAAACATTCATATTTACTATGTACTATAGTGTGAAATACATTTTAATTTACCATAACCCTATCACAATAGTGAATTTTCTCAGATGTAACTAGTAACCAACAGTTATAATGCTACAAAAACATTCATATTTACTATGTACTATAGTGTGAAATACATTTTAATTTACCATAACCCTATCACAATAGTGAATTTTCTCAGATGTAACTAGTAACCAACAGTTATAATGCTACAAAAACATTCATATTTACTATGTACTATAGTGTTTTATCTTAAGTATACAGATTTCAGTGAAAGGTACTATGTCCTGCCTGTGATACAGTCACACTATCTTTCAACAATCATTACAAATAACAAGAACAAAACACCAGTAATGTACATCTAATATTGTGCTTTGGTTCTATTGTTAGTTTTTTTTTTTTTTTGGCCTCTCAATGAGCCAAGTCAACAGGTGTGTACAACAATACCTAGTGGTTTGCACTGACCAACTTAAAACAGTTCTTTAAAATAGTCAAGATAAAATGAAACAAGCATCGCACAAAAAAAAAAAAAAAACTGATCGCATGAATGTATTGGAAGAAAAGGCATAGGAAAGAAACAAGGGTAAAAAAAGAGGGGGGAAAACTGGGCTTATAAATAAAGTGTATGTTAATAGAGATAGTGCATTTCTACTCCGTGTGTATAAGAGAAACCAATGACAAAAAAAAAAGCATAAATCTGTTTGATGTACAAAACAAAACATGAAAAACAGAGATGTATTATAATGTAAACAGCTCAGCCCCACTATGTACTTTACACTAAACACAGCACTTTTTTTTCCTAAATATTTGCCAGCACTTTTTTTCTTTGTTGAATATTTCTAAGTCACTTGGTTTGATTTTCTGTTTAATAAATAAATAAAAGCTCCATATCAAATTTTAAAACTTTAGTATCAAATATAAAATTCATTTCATTCTCAAAACTAAAATTACCAAGATATAAAATGTTGCTGTCAGGCAAACCAAATAGCAGTTAGGGAAATTTTCCCATTAAGAAACACATATAAAACTTGTATTCCTCAATGTCAAGCCTTAATTTTAAAATATTCAATTTTATAAGTTCTTTTAAATTTTTTTACAATAAAACTCAGAGATGAATTTATGTGACTATAATTTTTGTTTAAAAATTAGTTTAAAACTACAATGAGGAGGATGACATTACATCTCTTAATAGTCAATCAAAAGCAAGTTTATTATATATCACAAGACTACAGATATATCATCAATGAATTTGGTCAAAAGCCTCACATCAATGCTGCTCACATCTGTCACCATGAAATGTCAGAACAACACACAACATCCTGATAAGTCTGTAGTACAATGAACCCATGTCAACACAAACTTTGTTGTAACATTTGATTTAGTGTTACCGAATCAAGCGTGGCTGTGAGAAATCCCACTTTTAGCGTTGAGAATCATCAACAAGTCTGGAAGAAAGACAAACTTAACCGTTGTGCCTTGATGGTTGCTTTCAAATCCAGATGAACATCTCTTATTATTTTCAGTGGTTTAAATGTTTAGAACTAGTGATCCAAAATTACATTTGAAATGCCCTAAAAAGAAAAATGGATATTAACATTTTTTTTTGTATCCTTTGACAGAACCCAAGTCTTTATCAAGCAGATTTTGGAAGCCAAACTGAAACCAGCAGTTACATTTTAATTCTACTACATAGGCCCTGGATAAACACTGTAGCAGCCCTACATCGAATCATGTCGTTATCAGCCTGAATGTATCCACATTCCATATTGTGGGATGAATGCTGTCATGTAAATGTGGCACACGGTATGGATATAATGTAACATGAAAGGAATGCTGCTTTCGTTTTGACACCAACAATGACACTGCTTGCACTAGTTGTCTCTCCTTGGTTTCTTTTTCTTGCTCTTGGGTGCCGCCTCTTGCCAAGAATCTATTCAACAGAACAAATTATAAACTCAGAAGATGTCGACAGACACAATTTAATTCTTTTAATTATACATACAAATATTCTAGAATTATTTGAAAATGTTCAATGCTTTTAGAACAAAGAGAGTTTTTTCAATTCTTACAGCAAGTCCCCTCCTTCTTTTTACCAATATACATACAAAAAGTGTTTTTTTCCCCCTCTCATTGACAGACTTTTGCCATTACATTACTTAGGCATCTCCCCAGATATATCAAGTAAGCAACGTTCAAAGTAATAAATGTGTTACTTAACATAGTTACCTAATCATATAATTGCTAGTTATTTCATTTCAACTAACACATAATCTTACTATTAATCAAATGTTAAGTTAGAATTATAAACACTAGACTGAATAAACTGTCCAAGAAGTTAAGTATAACTGTACCTCCAACTTCATCAAAAGATATATTAGATGTAGATGTGGGGACTTCAGCTGGAAGTGGTGCAGACTCAACTTTTTGTGGCTCAGAGACCACCTCAACCAATTCAGTTTTAGGTGCTATAAAAAAAATATCAAAGATTATCATTATCAAGCATGTTAATATTTCATTTATGCTCTAAAGCTATGAAGGCTACAAGGTTCTGAAGGACTAGATAGATTCAAAAGGGAGGAGGGGAAAGTATACAAAAATCAAATGTTCTAAACAAAATACTGAAAGGTCTTTTAAACAAATAATACCTGCAAGTTTGGTCTCTTCTGTCTTCTTTTTTTCCACTTTCTTTTCAACAGTTTTCACAGTACTCTTAGTTTCAACAGTCTTGATCTGAATATCAATGGCTTTCTCTGATTTGTCTTCCTACAAGTAACATTAAGAGTTGGATTTACATGCAACCACAATACAATTTATTTTCTAAAAACCTTCACCCCCTTGGTAAACATCACTACAAATAGAATGCTGAACAGACACAGTGAATAACACTACGTACAAATAGAGTGCTAAAAAGACACAATTACTAACATAAATGTTAAATAACTGAGCAGATCATGAACAAAATGAAAATAGTAAGCTAACAGCAACAAACATATTCCTAGATTCCAAATCTAAAGTCTTATTGTGGTCCATAGTAAACTTCTTTTGTCCTATAATATCAGATGAGCACAAGATTATCTCTGCTTTATTTTATTCTCTTTAAGTGGTGGTATTTCTGACTGCTAGCTCATTTAGCCAGTTTTGGTCAGTTTGTTGATTTGTCTGTTAGTCAGAATCCACCAAGACCAGTGCCCTTGCTATGAATGTTGAGTAAAAGCTGTTTAAATGGATTCTTATGATAAACCACCTCACCAGATGAGCTGATTTAATGATTTTGCAATAACAATGTTTTTATTTCCTGATGTGCCAGACTTTAAACTAAACTATGCCTCTTAAGGTTTCAATTTCGAGTGAGGATTTTTGTTTCTTTTCTTTCTTCCATTGTTATGATGGGTGTGGTAGTGATAATTTACATCAAGGACTTAATAGTATATAACTGTCTGGATCTATTTAAACTCAACACTTTCATGCAACAAAAACTAGTTAAGTCAAACTTAAGTGAATTAACCAGTACTAGTTCAACAGCTAAAAATAAATACGCCAGAAAAGAGATTGTAGAAAAACATTTTATGAAAAGAAAAAAAAAGTATCCTGAAACAAAAGAATATCACAATGGATACATATTGTTTCATGCCAATTTCAAAGAGAAAGCTGAACAAATAAAACCACTATACCTGAACATTCTCAGCAGTTTTTCCTTTCTTCTTTTTAGGACTTGCTTTTGTAGATTCAGTAGCAGCAGAAGTAGCTGCTGGTGGAGCACTGGTTTTGCCTTTTTTAACACTTGGTGGACTAATTTTGGCAGGTTCTGCCTCAACTGGGGAAGAAGAAACTTCTGGTTTTGGTAGAGATTCCAAATCGGTAGAAACTGGAGATTTAGATTTCTTGGCAGCTGAAGATGCCTTGGCCTGATCAGAACTGGGTGGGGCAGCATCTGTAGGGCTTTTCGCTGTCTTGGATTCTTTTTTGGCAGGTTTACTTGCAGGTGGAGCAACTTCTTGTGGTGGATTCTCCAGAGCGGGGGCAACAGTTTTCTTGTCTTTCTTTCCTTTCTTCTTCTTGATTTCTTGTTGGTCCTGAGGCATAAACAGATGTTGTTACAGACAGAAGTAAAGAGCATTAACATTGAACAATCAAGAAAACTCAATAGAAACTGACCTATGTTTTACTGATAAAATACCAATAATATATTTAGAGTTACAAATATGAAATTTGTGTTTCAGGACTAAAGTTTTAGTTTGCAGTCAGATTAAAAACAAATGCTTGTCTAGTAGTTACAAGTCAATTCTACTCAATTTGCAAATGTTTAGAATGAGACTAAAAAAAGTGAATAGCACTGGTTGTGGATAAGGTTGTGTAAGTGGTACTTAGAGTGCATGGTTTTGGATAGGTTGTGTAAATAAATATGTACTTACAGTGCAAGACTGTGGAAAATGTGTATATAGTTATGCAATCACAGTGCATGGTTGTGGACAAGGTTTGGCAAATGGATTTGCACTCCCAATTGACACAATTTTCTTGGTTTAAAAAAAATAATTTTAAAAATTATAACATAAATGAAATCTTATGTCAAATTGTTAATTTGGAATTAAACTATATACCTCTGCTTGTGAAGTTTCTTTAACTACAGGCTTTTCCACAGGCTTCTCTACAGCCAAATTAGTTACCTCTTTTTCCTCTTCTTTGCTCTGTAAAGTAAAACAAAAATGAAGCATGAAAGTGTTGCATTATATTAAATATTATATACAATGATTAAGTTGACTTGAGTGACTTAGTTGACTAGAGTAACAAATTTTCAAAACATATAAAACGTACTTTCTCAATTATTTTTTCCTTTTTCTTTTTCTTTGTCTTATCTGTCACAGCAACATTAGATTCCTCAGCCTTGAGAACTTGTACTGAAAATACTGGCACGACTACTTCAGGAACTGGAACCGGGACAGTTTCAGTCTCATTCTCAGGATCAGACTCGGCACGCCCACCATCTTTCTTTGCTGGCTTCTGTTTTTTACTTTTTTTTGACACAAGTATAGTTGTCCATTCACCTTGTTTATCAAAGAAAAGAATCTAAATTAGAAAAATAATAAATTTTATACTAGGAATGGAATTTGTTTTGCAAATGTGCATTTGAGAGAATATAGTGTAATATAAAGAATAATATAGATCATATAATACAGTTTACCACAGAGACATTACATGGTGTATCAACCACATATATAAAGTAAAAAGTTCCCCTTTCAGACCTTGTGGTCTATAGGGCAAATAATGTAAAGGTCATCTGTTTCTGTGGCCTACAGTTTACAAGTGTGTCATGTGACCAGCACAACAACCAACCACCTTAACTTTTCCCCAACTAATGTCAGGAACCCAATAGAGCTGGGTGGACTCAAGAGGCACCCAAAGATCCCGAAATAAAAAATCCCAGTCTTCACCACATATATACTATAAATGGTAATACATCACAATTAGCAAAGTCAATACAAATGTCATTCAGCGTGATGTTTACAAGACTCAAGATGCTTTTATTGCTTTGATTCAT